GGAAAGTGAGACAGTTCCCAAAGACAGTAGAGGTTTGCTTCGTGAACCCTGGGAATGGGGTGCCCAGGATTTCTTTCCAGGCAGCTGCAGAGGCCCCAGGTCCCTTGTATTCTACACCCCATTCTACTTCAGTCATTGTGCTCAGGCTTGGGTCTCTGCGGTCTTTCGTGGACTCCGTTTCCCTGTCTGGATAATGAGAATGTGGACTTGAAGTTCAGGAGATGTGGCTGAAGGCCTGGCTGCATTCTGCATTGTCAGGCATTTCCTGGTAGGGAGGGGACCAAGTGGTCAGCTGGCTGCCAAAGAAGGTGAGGGTCTGGGGCTTGTCCTCTGCCTGGCTTTCATGTTACCAGGTCTCAATAATGCCCCAGCTCCTGAGCTGGCTTGCTGCACCCCGAGGTAGGGCAGAGCTCCTGGCTGGGCTGGGCTGGTTGGCCCCACCTCCTCTAGGCTGGGCCCCAGGCTGTCACAAGGGAGAGGATTGTTCCCACAGAGTGTCTGGGCCAGAAAACACAAGTGGCCACTGTGTCTGCTCTCAAGGGTGTGGGCTTCGAGGTTAGAGACAGCCAGCAAGGAGCAGGGCAGGGGATCCCCCTCATCCCTGGCCTCGCCTCAGAACTAGTGGACGTGGACTTTTGAAGCCTTGATGCTGTATGTTTATGGAAATCCTGTCTGCTTGCTTCTGCGTGCACCTCATTTGTTCAAACCCTCAGCTCTCCAGGCTTTCCCCATAGCACAGAGAGAGCTCAGACATCGTGCCCCACCCTCCAGCTGTACAGAGGGGAACCAGAAGCCCAGGCAGGACTGGTGCTGACTGTATAGGCACCTTTGGAAAGCAGTTCGATCCAAGGACTTTGAAACACCAGGGGCCTAAGTCCTCTTCATTACAGATGTGTGGCCCTGGACCGTGATTTCACCGCTCTGAACATATGGCTTCTCTTTTTATTGAGAAGGGTCTTCTTGGGCTTGAGGTCCTGAGCTCAAGTGATTCTCCCAAGCAGTTGGTACTTCAGCCATCACATCTGACTGTCCCATTTCTTACACATAAAACAAACAAACAAACAAACAAACAAACAAACAAACAAACAAACAAGCAGCCTCTAGAAAGCACAGCATTCTCTTTGAACCTGAGAGCCCAGTCAAGACCACGGTCCTAGACTCCATTCTCCCCTTTCCAGGCCTCAGTCTGCTGTCTGGGAAGCAGGCCTGTGGCCAGTGCCTGCCTCGGTATCTGTGGGAGGCTCATTGCCTGCACCTGTCAAGGCCCCCTGGCTGGGACTGGTTGGTACTGGCTGTGCGTGCCATTCTTCTTTAGCTCGTGTCAATTGAACCCAATTGAACCCTCTGGAAGTGATTTGGTGCTCAGAGCACCCAGGCTTGTGCAGAGCTGGCCTTCACAGCCTGTCTGAATCTCAGCCTCTGTTGACTGAGAATGGAATTTGCCTTCCAGGTCTGGGTGGCACTGGTCAGCACTGACCAGTTGTTGCTGTTTTGTTTTTGTTTTTTGTTTTTTTTAATCCACAGTTGCAACATCCTCTGTTGCCTTTTGGGAATGGATTGCTGCCTCAGCCAGGCTCTTAAGGAATTTGATTTTGGCACAGTCACTGCATGGCCCCTCCCTGGTGGGTCCTGGCTTCTGAAATCTGAGTAAGGCACTGGGCACCGACCAAGCAGTCTTGGTGTTGACACTGGCTCCTTGCTGGAGGCCCAGCCCTTTGGTCAATGCTGCTTTTACAGTGTAGGGCAAAGCAGGTTCTGTGCACTCCTGGGAAACTGTCCCCATTCCTCCACATTTATAGGAAAACATCTTTTTTTTCAGGAAACTCAGGAAAAGGTGACATACAGCCTTCTCCCCTCAGCACAAAAAGGCCGTGATGAGTGGATGACTTTTGCCTACCTCATTTATGGCTGAAGAGGTGCTGTGGTCCCCTGACCCTGAGTCTGCCACCCACAAAGGTCTCACCCTTCCTCTCTGCCTCTTCAAAGGAAAGGAAGAGAGGGAGAGAGAGAGACTCTAACTGCTTATCTCATGGATTTTTTTTTGGCCGGGGAGGGGCGTTGGAGACAGGGTTTCTCTGTGTAGCCCTGGCTGTTCTGGAACTCATCCCATAGTGAGTCAGGCTGGCCTCCAACTCAGATATCCACATGCCTCTGCCCTCCTGGTGCTGGGATTAAAGGCGTGCACCAGCACTGCTTAGCTCTAAAGGTTTTTTAAGGTGTTCTGAACAAGCATTCAAAATTGGACACCCCCCCCCCCCCACACACACACACACACTTGTCCTGCTGATCTGAGATCCTGGTCTGGGTTCTGGAGGTCTCATGACCTCTAATCTGAAAAGAACTTCGGTGGAGGAAGACGATCACTCGTTAAGGTGCAGGCTTGGAAGCAGGCTACCAGAAGTCCAGACGCACCCTGCTACTTTGCTCACAGAGCTTTGCCTCTGTCTCTCCCTCTGCGAGTGGGCCGGTAGCTGTACTGCCCCGGAGGATGCTTGAGATAGTAATTGAGTTAAAACACCTAAGAAGTGTAAGCCAAGGGTGAACAAACTCTGTCCCCTATAAACGTGGAACTGTTGTAATCACTGCAGGGGACGTGTGGCTCTTAGCAGCTTAGCTAGGAACACCTGAGTTGAGAGTAGAGCGGAGAATGCTGTTTGCATCCTCTGCACCACTTCCTTCTCAAAGGCTCCCTCTCAAGTTGGTGCCGGGGCCACGCCCATCCTAAGCAGCCACCTGGTCCCTCTCAGCAGGATATGCAGCACCTTTCCATCCAGACCTTAAATCCTGAGGCCAGGGAGAGGGCAGCTGTCAGAGCATGTAGCCACCCTATACGCGCCTCGCCTAAGGCATAGCAAAAGTCATTCGGTTTCTGGTTATGGAGTTTTCTGGTGCAGGGGATTATGTGGACTTGTAATCTAGACCTGCAGTTCTCAACCTGTGTGTTGAGACCCCTTTGGGGGTCAAATGACCCTTTCAGAGGGGTTGCCCAAGACCCTCGGAAAACACAGATGTTTACATTATGATTTATACCACTAGCAAAATTATAGTTATGAAATAGCAACGACATGATTTTATGGCTGGAGGTCACCACACCATGAGGAGGTGTATTAAAGGGCCTCAGCATGGGAAGGCTGGGAACCACTGGTCTAGAGAATGTAAAGGATCTATGAAGGAAGATGACCCAGGTGCGAATTCCAGGCATGTCTCCTCTCTGAACTTGGACTTGGTTATCAGTCTTGCAATGGGAGAATCTGAGCTGCCGGTTGCCCTCTGTGCTCTGATCCTCTAAGTGACTATGTGTTGTCACCTAGGCCCTGACGCTGGTCAGAGTAGGCGGGAGGCATGGCACCCTCAGGAAGGCATGGGTGGAGCACAGATGCTCACAGCCCCGGAGCACCCAGTGCTTGGTGACAAGCAGCTGGCTGCTGGCTTTTAGGTCCACGTCATCCCACGGTGTGTCCTCCGTCAACACCTCAGTCCTCATGAGCCCCTGCGGTAGAGAGGCTGAAGGTTATAGCAGCTTGGGAACACCGAGGGAGCTGTGGTTCTTGTGTCATGTTTCTGGGGCGCCTTGTGAGGAGGAATGGTGCCATCGGCTCTGTCATTCACATGCTTATCTCTCTGTGTCTCTCTCTTTTTTTTTAATTTTGGCAAAATAGCATTAATCTTCTGTTTATCCCATTAGCTTCTCCAAGGCCTACAGTTCTTAAAAAAGTCCGTAAGCCATGGAGTCTTCACTGTTGTATATGTTTCAAGGTTTTAGTTTGTTATTTTAGTTTAGTTTAGAGACACTGTTCCTACATGTCTCTCGCTATGTAGGCCTGAACTCACAATGCAAACCCAGCTGGCTTCAAGCTCCCAGAGATCCTCCTGCCTCCACATTCCCGAGTACTGAGATTAGAGTCATGGCCTGTGTCGCCATGCCTAGCCCAAAGAGTTTTCTGTTTGTTTATCTTTAAATCATCTCCAACAAACTCGGGGTCCTCTGAGCAGCCACCCTACCCCACACAACCCCAGGTAAACTCTGAGTTTCTTTCTCTGTCACTGACTGCCTTTGCTTTGTCAGACGGAATCATGCAGTATTTAGCTTTGGTGCCTGGCTTATTTCGCTTAGGCCAGAGACCTTGTGTTTTCAAGGCTCGGTTGTTACCGTTGCAGCATTTCCTGGTGGAACAATAGCCATTGCACTTATGCTTCTCTGGTCCCTTAGGTGTGTCTCACCTTTGGCTGTGGGAGGTATGGTGCAGCCGGAATCCCTGTTTTGTGCTCCTTTGGCTCTGAAGCTGTGGGATGGCAGCGTCTGTCTGTGTTGGTCCCCAGAGAAGGGAGCTCTGTAGTGGCTGTCTACCACAGTCCAGCCTTACTCCAGTACTCCTTCCTCCACACCTCCCCGCTCCTGTTAAGTTTGGTTTCTTGGCTGTGTCATCCCAGCTGGCTAAGGTTTTCTCTCTCTTTCTCATCAGATAAGAAGCAGTGTCCTGCCCAAGTGATGTGTGGCCAGGAGACAGTTTTAATATGATGCATTCGGTACACCCCCGCCTTCCCCCTCTTTCCCCCACAATGGGTCACAGTGCCAGTGCTCATGAGCCCTCTGTTTCAGGCTTTTTGTGGGTGGCTATCGTGGGTAGAGCTTCCCTCAGATTTTTTTTTGTTTTGTTTTGTGTTCTTTTCATTTTTATATTATAAAGATTTTATTTATTTATTTGTTTGTTTATTGTGTGTGAATGCACTAGCCCATCCTTGTATTTACTTCATAGTTTATTTTATAGTATGGTTATATCTTACTTCCTTATTAAACACATAGAATGTTCTTTCTGGTCTGAGATCCCCTGTGTTGACACCTCATGTGCCCTGGCTGTTGTTAGGATGTTAACTGTCTGTGTCAGGACAGTGTTTTAGTTCCCTTGGACATCCATCTCTGTTTTCATACTTGTATGGGGGCCTGGGAAGCCTTCTTTTGCCCAGCCTTTCTTGTAACCTTCCATGTCTCCACTTTGCAGGCCAAAAACAAGGAGACCGGTGCCCTGGCAGCAGCCAAAGTCATTGAGACCAAGAGCGAGGAGGAGCTGGAAGACTACATCGTGGAGATTGAGATCCTGGCCACCTGCGACCACCCGTATATCGTGAAGCTCCTGGGGGCCTATTACTATGACGGGAAGCTATGGGTAAGAGCACGGCAGCCTGGCCACCGATGCCCGCCATGCTCGCTCAGCATCTGCTGTGTGGGCCAGGGCTGCAGCAAGGGGGTGAAGTCGGCTGCTCTGAGTCCTTGGCCTCCCTTCCCCACACTCCCCTCCTCTCCCCACACTCAGGCCAAGGCCGCAGAAGCAGCAAAGTGCTGTAGCATACAACCCAGAGAAGGCTGGGCCTGCCTGTCTGTTACACGTATGTGAGTGGAAGGATGCGTAGTGATCATTGAGAAATCCGAAACAGTACAGTGGTTGTGTTGATGCGCAGGATGTTCCTGGTTCATACTGCCAGCTGGGGAGACTTGGGGTGGCTCCCCCAGTGAAGCCTTTGTGCGTGTTAGGTCTGATGTCCTTTCGAGCTTGAACACAGCACCCCATAAGGAGTTCTCACCTTGTGGTGCCTTGGACACCGAGCAGTCCAAGACTGAGCGATAAATTCTGGATGAGTGTCCAGAAGCCTGGCATGGACAGGACGCCTGAGTACTAATCTTGGCGACATTTGCAGGACTCACACATCTCTTATTTCTATGCTCTTCCAACCTGAGCATCACCCTTGGCTCCTGCCAAGGGTCTTGAGACCTCACTGGCTGCCCTGCAGATATCCCTGTCATCAGCCTGCCTCATGTTGCTACCTCTCAATTGGCAAAACTCAGATGGCCTAGAATGTGCATTTTGCTAAACTTGTTTTCTGCCAAGTCTCTCTGTCTCTCTTATGTGTGCATGCATGTGTGTGTATGTTTCCAATGGTGAATATTGAATTCAGGGCCTTTGCTCTACCATTGAACTACATCCCAAGCTCAATAGTATATGTATGTATATATATATATATATATATATATATATATATATATGATATATATTAGATATATATTATATCATGTATATATAAAATATATAGTATATGAATGTGTGCATATATGTATGTATGTGTATATACATATATATGTATATCTCTTTCTCTCTCACACACACACACACACACACATACACATATATGAATAATCCCCCCTTCAAACTCTGGGCACCAAGGAAGCAAAGTGATATGTGTGCAAGAAATATCACAGCTGGGGACAGTAGTGCAGGCCTGCAATCCCAGCACTTGGGGAGGCAGAGGCAGACGGATCTCTGTGAGTTCGAGGCCAGCTGGTCTACAAAGCAAGTCCAGGACAGCCAAGGCTACACAGAGGAAACCATGTCTCAGGGAAAAAAAAAAAATCTCAAGTAAATTCCAGGAGTATCTGGCAGTGTCAGAATCCTGTAGACATTTGGAGACGTGGCTGAGGGCCCCCATGTATGCGACATCTCCGCCAGTCTTGCCACCGCAGATGGGAGGGGTGGTTCAGAAGTGTCCATTGACCAGAAAGGATGTTTTAGGCACGGTACACACCGCTGTGGTGGTCTGGTGTGTTTGGAGGGTTTTCCATATCTGCTCAGGTCTCAGAGCACCTGGAGCTTGCTATTGGCCAGCGATGGTTTGTCATCTTCCGTGCCCAGTGGGAAGCAGAGTCTTGGCTTTTAATGACAGAAGGTTTGACTTACTGGTGCTATCTGGAGAAACCTGGTTCACTGGAGAAAGATCCTGCTGCTTAGGAAAAAGGAAAGTTCAGAAAGCCCCATGAACTTTCACCTCCCGGACAGGAATGGAAGCCTGCAAGAGGAAGTCAGTGGCCAAGGGACAGGGGCTTGGCCCTTCCCCAGCTTGTGTTAGCCTAGTGCCCATTGTGTGAGGTGTCTGAGGAGGAACTTCTTGAACATGAGCTGTTTAGTGGGCGCATATAGCTCTGGAGGTTCAGGGCTGTGGTGCCAGAATGGGCTCTCTGACTGGGCTCAGGTCAGTCAGAACCGCAGAAGGTTTTGCTGCGGAAAGTCTTGTGGCGATGGTATGAACCAGGGAGTTCCTCAGGTCCCAGAAAGGACCTCATTACTTGGTTCCTTCTACAGGCATGTCTCTGGTGACTTCATGGTGACTTCACTCTTAAAGGTCCTACCTCCTGCTAACACCATTACAGTGGGGACCAAGCTTCCAGTGCTTAAAGTCTTGGGGGACACACCCAAGCCATGGCATAGCTTCCCCTACCCAGGGCTTTGTGCCTTGTCACTTGCTGCCCCCCCTCTGTTGCGCCTATTTTAAAGCTCAATTTTATTTGGGGTTCCTTCAAGCCTCTCCCTTCCAACCCCCCAACCCTAGCTAGGAGAGAGAAGCTTAGCAGGGAAAGGGGTGCAGACCCCTTTGCTTCTCCTGGCTGTTTTGGGTTGATGGCTTCTTTTAGGTCTATACCAGTTCTCCACCAAAAGCACAAGCAGCAAGCAGTCTCCTTCAAGCCACTATGTTGAAACGTTCCATCTTTCCACCCATCTCTGATTTCTCCAAACTTGTTCACCACACAGCACACACTGTCTCTCTGGGCTCTCTTATTTATATCCCTCAGAACCCTAGACTACGCCTCTCTCTCTTCATGTTTGCAGGCCATTACTAGCCGGCAAAGACCATACCCCACAGGAGGCAATTATAGGCTGTGGACAAACTAAAGCCTGAACTAAAATCCCACACTTGGGATTAAAACAGAAACATATCTATGTAACATAACTGAGTTTGCAGAGAAACCAAAACTGCTGTTATACCCCTCTATTCCCTCTTACTTGCTACCTGCTTCTCCCCGGCTCAGTCCCCTGTCATTTGCTACCCATCGCTCTGTCCCTGTTACTTGCTCTCCCCCAACTCTGTCTCCTGTCACTTGCTACCCCCAGCTCTGTCCCCTCACTGGCCCCCCCCGCCCTCTCTTGGGGGAGCCACTTCCATTTTAAAGTCCTGTTTGTTCCTTGTCACCTGGAACCGGGAGGTGGAGCAGGATAAGGAGAATCCACAAGTGGTCTCCCTTTTTCCAGAGGAAGAAACAGGCCGGAGAGCCAGGCCTCCTACTCAGAGCCAAAGGGCCAAAGTGGGCGGAGCTGGACTACATACTTTCTCTGTCTGGGTTGGTGAAGCTACTCCCCCCCCCCCCTTTTTTTCTGACACAGTGTTTCTTTGTGTACCCTTGGCCAGCGGCCTGGAACTAGCTGTATAGACCAAGATGGCCTTGAACTCACAGAGTCCCTCCTGCCTCTGCTTCCGGAGTGCTGGGATTAAAGGCGTGGGCCACCACTCCCCAGCTCCATAGAGCAAGTTTTTGTGTTTGTTCCAAGGCATCAGACATTCAACAGAGAGTCAACAGATGGAAGGCAGACTGCCATTAATGTCCTGGAGCCCCTTTGAGAACTGTCTTTTAAGGGCTGTGTGGTGCTTGCTTCGAAAGCCTGATGACCTGAGTTCAGTCCCCAGAACTCACCTTCAGATAGGAGAGAAGTGACTCTCTGCCCTCCCCACCTGTGCATGGTGGCATGTGCACTGATTGTACACACACACACACACCATCATCATCATCATCATACTAATAATAGTATTAATACTTGTTTTTAAGCAGTTAGAAGAAATTAGACTGACATCACTAGGTTAGTTAAAGAAAAAAAAGGGAAAAAATCGGAAAAGCAAAAAGTGAAATGACTTGATTTTTTTGCATGTGTGTGTGTGTATGTGCGCCAGAGGACCCACTGTTAACATTCAAAATGCACAGAGGCAGGCATGGGGCTCTAACAGTTTAAACCTCTAGGCATGAAAATATCTAGAAAATGCATTTTGAATGTTTTCCTGCTTGGGAATTTCTTTATGAGAATTTTTTAGAGTTTTCAATGTCTGTTTTCAAACTGGCATCACCCAGCAACTTCTGATGTGCGCTGAAGTTCCGCTGGCTTATTCATCTGTCCACCATCCTCCTACCCACCTGTCCACCATCCCTGCATCTGGCCCTCCCCCACCATCCCTGCATCTGTCCCCTCCCCACCATCACTGTATCCACACCTCCCTCCCCACCATCACTCCATCCACAACCCCCACCTACTCTCCACACATTGGTGGAAACATCAGGTAGGTAATTACAGCAACTATGGAAATCGCTCCTATAGACCTCAGATGCTGTCTGACAATATTCTTAGCTTTGGGACCTGTTTATACAATCATTCCAAAAGGATTTGTGCAGTAGTCACAGGGTATTAGTTCACACACACTCACGAGAGCACACACACACACTCACACACACGAACGTGCAGAGATGGGGAACGAATGGCTTTTTAAGAGGGCCAAGATAGCCTAAGATAATTTGGCTCTGGAACTGCAACATTCAAACTCGCCCATTCACCAACGTTCCCTTTCCGTCAGGCAGTCAGCTTTTGTAGAATGCTTAGTGTGGATGCAGCTTCTTTTGAGAACTTCAGTGCATTTAGTCATTGTTGCTTTTGGACTGGGACAGCCACTCGGGAGAGACACAACTGGTGCAATAATTGGAGGCCATCTTGTGCAAGGCCTGGATGCCAAGGTGAAGATTTTAGACCTGACCTTGTAGAGGTCGGTGGCCTCAGCACTTCCTGGGACCTACAGTTGTGGTCAGTAATGGGGCCCCCCGTGGCCCTCTCAGACTGTAAGCTGGGATGCCGCCGAGCTGCCTGTATGTAGTTTGAGAGCCTTCTAGGTGAGTCATGGTGGTTTAAGTTTGAAAACATCTATTTTAGGCCTTGGCAACCCAGTTGCAGTTTTGCTCAGAGGAAGTACATTCTGTGTTGTAGAAAAAGGTCAGGTTTGGGGGCAAGAGGTAGAGCACTGGGTCCAGTCAGAAGCAGTTCAGAGAAGACCTGGCCAGAAGCCTTAAGGATGTGATGTGGAACACGGAGAAGCTTCAGGGGAAGGGGCAGCTTCAGGGGAAGTGTCTTGCAGGATGCATAGGCGTTGGAAAGAAGCAAGACTGGCTAAGTGCAGGGGCCTGCCTGTGTGGAAGTGAGAAGCCATGTGGTTCTGAGATTGAAGGTGGGAGGCCACAGTGCCTACGGTGTCACTACTGTGGGGTGGCTTGAGGCCCAGGCTTCCTGTGGGGGTCTCAGGAGGCAGC